AATTCGTATTCATTAAGTAATAATCCCCATCTAATCAGTCTACTTCCGGGATTTTTACAGTTTAAAAGCCAAGTGATTGGTTTATTATCGGTTACAATTTTAAACTTTCTACCATATAGGTAGCATCTAAAATGTTTAATGCTCCAAATTACTGCTAATAATTCTTTTTCCATAGTTGTATAATTTTGTTCGGCAGAATTTAACGTACGACTTGCGTATGCAATAGGTAGGTCCTGCCCGATCTCACCTTGACTTAAGACCGCACCAATCGCATAGTCTGAAGCGTCGGTCGTCAAAATAAATTCTCTTGAAAAATCTGGATATTGAAGTAAAGGTTCATTTATTAGAATTTCTTTAAAGGTGTCGAAAGATTCTTGACATTCTTGAGACCAAATAAAAGCAACATTTTTCTTTAGAAGATTAGTCAATGGTTTAGCAATTTTTGCAAAATTGTTGATAAATTTACGATAATATCCAATTAAACCTAGGAAACTTTTTACTGTTTTTTGATTTTTAGGAATGGGAAAGTTTTTTATTGCTAGTTTTTTCTGGTTTTGGTTTTACTCCTGATTTAGAAATGATATGACCGAGATAAGAGATTTCTTTACGGAGGAATTCACATTTGTCGGGTTGTAACTTTAAATTATTATTTCTGAGTCTGTCGAAAACCGCTTCAAGACGTGAGACATGTTGATTTAGATCTGATCCATAAATAACTATATCGTCTAGATAAACGAAACACTGTAACCCTTGTAAACCAGTAAGAACTGCATTCATTAGTCTTTGAAAACAAGCGGGTGCATTTTTTAATCCAAAAGGCATTCGACTAAATTTCCAGTGACCTAAAGGTGTAGTGAAAGCGGTTTTTGGTTTATCTTCTTCTCTCATTAGAATCTGATGGAAACCAGAAGCCAAATCGAGTGTGGTGAAATATTTACTATGGCCTAATTGATCTAAAATTTCTTCGATATTTGGCATTGGATATGCATCACCAACTGTAACTTCATTCAATTTTCTAAAATCAACCACTACGCGCCATTTTTGTTCCCCCGAAGCGTCCATTTCTTTTGGTACTACCCATAGAGGGGCAGACCAAGGCGATGCAGACGGTTGAATTATTCCCTGTTGTAACATTTTATTGATTTGTTTATTAACTTCGGTTTTATGAATTTCTGGGTATCTGTACGTTTTTGTATGAATGGGCTTAGAATCAGAGATGTTTATTTCATGTTTAATAGTGTTAGTACAACCAAGGGTATCTCCAGGTAGAAAGAAAATATCTTCATAATTTTCACAAAGATTAGTTATGAAGCTCTTTTCTTCTTGGTTTAAATGGTCTAATCTAAGATTTTGTTTCAATAGTTGGCTCCTATTTTTAATAAAATTATTTTCAGTACTTTGTTCCGAAGCAAAATAACAGTAGCTTTCTTTAGGAATCTGTTCTAAATAGATTGAAATAGGTTTTAATTGAAAATCAATTACTTTTGAGTTTAAGATTGTTGCAAAAGCTTTATTATTTGAATTTACTTTAGTCAATGCTCGGGATAAATAGATTCCCTTAGATATTTCCATATCTGGTATGATCCCTTCTTTTATTTCCGGGTTTAGAACGTTGATTTCTATTATTGTTTCCGTACGAGATTTGAGAACAAAATAAGAACCAGTGTTAGGATTAGCGTTTAATCCGATAGGGATTTGAAATGGCAATGAGTTTAGAGATAGAGTTCGTTTTTTAAAATCGATTTTTGCGTTTTGATCTTGAATAAAATCCAATCCAATTAGACCGTCATAAGGGACGTTTGTAGCCTGATTTAGTATGTGGAATTTTATGTTCAAAATCTGATTGTTAATGTTAAAAGGAATAGTGGTAGTTCCAACTGTTTGAATTGGAGAATTAGGACAGAGTCCATGAAGAGATATTTTTTCTGAAGGAACAAATTTAGTTATCTCAGGATTGAGTTTGTTGGCTTTTATCAATGAGCAGCTTGCACCTGTATCAAGTAAAAATCGGAGTTTTTTGTTTGGATTTTTTGAATATTTACTTTCTAGTTCAACGAAACTTGAGCTATTTTCAGCAAGAAATATTGTTAGTTCTCGTCGTTCTCGAACATTGCTAAAGTTTTGAGATGATCCTCCAGTGAGGTGTTCGTCATTGGAGGAGCGTTGGAGTTTAAAGAATTTGAATGACTTGGTTGATAATTTGGTACATTAGAATTGTATTGAATTGAATTAACGTTCGCGTTCTGCCTTGAATTCGTATGAGGTGAGTCGCGAAAAACTGGATTATGATTTGTCGAATTTCGATAAGGTCTTCTATTAATTTGATTGCTCGAGTTTTGGTTTAAGTTTTGAGAATTAGCGTTTTGATTCCTGTTATTATGTTGATAGTTTGAGTTTTGGAAGTTAGAGTTTGGATTTCTATTATTACATTGATAGTTTGAGTTTTGGGAATTAGAGTTTTGATGAGATTGGTTAGTATGCTGTCGATTAACATGGAAATTCATCGAATTATTAGATCTTCCTGCATTATTATTATATTGTCTTTTTCTACATTCTTTAATAACATGCCCTTGTTTTTTGCAGTAACGACAAAATATCTGATTATTCGTAAACAAAGTTCTTACGTTTGCATCATGATTTCTTGTTTTGAAACAATTATTTGTAGAATGCGAGTTGTTTTTGCAATTTTTGCAAAACTGAGTTGAACTGCGCGACATAGCCACAGCGCGTTCTTCAGAAATAGCTGCACTATACGCAGAATTAATCGAATCAAAATCTTTCCATCTCAACATTCGCGAAATTTCGGGTTTCGAATGATAAATAAATCTATTTAAAGCAATTTCGTTCAACATTTTCAGTTTTCCAGGAATCTCTTCCGGTTCTGTGCAATTTTGTTGAGTAGTAGATATCAATCGCGAGTTAATTGTTTCCAAACGTTGAAAAAAGTCTTTCACTGATTCGTTAGGACTTTGTTTGCAATTATTTAGCTCTTCCATTAATTGAACGTAATGTTTTTTGTCTTGATATAAAGTTTTTAAAGCGTCTTTTAAGGTATCCCAATTATCAAAGTTTTGGGTAGCTAACTGTTCTTTAGCCTTGCCACCGATTCGAGATAAAATAAAATATAAAAGAGGATTTTTCTGAACGTCCTGTGCTAATACATTGACATTATTACAATTCGCTAAAAATTGCCCTAATTCAAGACGATCGCCATCAAAACTATTAGGTATTAGTTTGCATAAAAAATCTACGGAAAACCTACCATTATTTGGGTTGGAATTTGACGAAGGAAGTTGATTAAAAATGTTTTGAAAAGTTTCTAATAATATTGTTTGTAGGTCTGGGTTTACGGCAGGAGGAGTCATAGTGGCATATAAGGAGTTAGACAAACAAAAGTAACCTCATTAAGAGACAAAAATCACTTACCAAAAAACTTGAAAGCTAGTGGTTACACAACAACTGTGATTCAATCCAATACTGGTCAACGCTGATGATAGCTTTGGCTGACTATGGTATGTCTTGAATCTTTGTATCCAAATCCTGCTGGATCTTGCTAGATACTTCTGAATCGTACCGACCGCGCCAAAATCTGTTGTGATCCTTCAGTGTTTTGCCTTGGTTAAAACTACTTTTGTTTTTGGTTTGAAACTTGTAGCTTTATTAGGTAATGGAATATAGAATGAAATTGAACTACAGCAAAAGTAAGACTTATTTTAGAGAGAGTTTTAACAAAATGTGTTACTACGACTGAAGCTGTCTTAAGACTGTCTTCTTGCTTCACTAGATCTCTTACAAATCGACCTTTACATCCCTTCTAAAACGTTTCTAAAACCTACATAATTACAACTGGAAAACCCTAAATAAATATTGGCAATAAATGACAGTCTGTTCGCCCAAAGAATGACCATTAAGGATATTTGGGAATTTTGGGGTTTATGGTGGACAAATGTTTAATTTATTTACATACAATATCTTTGGGTTCTTTAACAGAAAGTCTGGGTCATATAATAATATTGCTTTCGGCGACGGCGAGACATTATTTGGGAATTTTGGGGTTTATGGTGGACAAATGTTTAATTTATTTACATACAATATCTTTGGGTTCTTTAACAGAAAGTCTGGGTCATATAATAATATTGCTTTCGGCGACGGCGAGACATTATTTGGGAAAGTATTCGAGGGTCGTAAAAGGTACAATGTCATGATATTATGGAGGAATATGACACAACGTTGTACGCAACAACAATTTAGCTAACAACTTCGGTTATATTTTTTTTTAACTAGATTAAAGTATACGGATGAAGACATCTAACCGTGGTTGACATTGGTTGGATACATTGCTAACAGAAAGCCCGTCAAAAGTTAACGTCGCGAGCTTTACCATAAGAAAACTATACGCTCGACAACGTCTGATCCACGTTGACTACAGCTACCATAAATATCTGACGTTAACTCAACGTCGGCTGAATATTTAACTTAAGCGGAACTTTGATTGTGATTTTTGTTTCTACAAGAGTCACTTTCAAAGTTCCACTTAGATTGAATATCCCTTAAGTTATAGCGGTGCAAATAGCCGTTAGTAACCTAAATTTCTACCAATTACAACGTCGGAACTAGTGAAAATCTAGTCTTAAGTCGGAAAAATGCTACTTGGGACCTACATATATTTTCTCCTTTATAAAGTGATAATCTGCATTTACTACAACCAGAATGCTGCAAGATTCCCTTTTTCTACAAAATAAAATACGAAAGATCCTAGGGAATGCTGACGCTCTGTCTAGATTGGTTATGCGCGCCCATTCTAGATGGACTGAAGTACATATTATGCGACTATCAAAAATATTCGGTTCCTTCTGGTGAGGGTGGTAAGCTCAGACTTATTGCCGCTTTTCAATTTTAGGTATTTAAGTATCACGCAACAACGTTTAAGAAATACTGAAAAATTGGTCACATGTGCATTGTTTTAATTAATAAAATAAAGTCTTATAAAAAGTCGCATATAGAAATATAAAAATTAATATATTAAACGTTGGAAAAATTACACACAATCTCTCTATCTGAAAATTATTTATTTAGGCTGCTGCTGCAGCATTGGCAGTGGCTACACTTTGGGCTCCGCCGTTGTATCCTTGCGTTCTGCTGGAGCTCTGAGCAGAAGATGATGTTGCTACAATACCGTTTCCCTCAAATTTTTGTGTTAGTGCGTTAGCGTCTGCTGCACTACCTCCAGAGGCACCTAGCAAAACAATTATTTATTACTGTCATTTGGGTCTGGAAAATAATTCATATACCTGCACTTGCTCCTCCAGGGTGCACCACACTCCCTTGGGGAAAAGAAAACCCTCCATTGAAACCACCAGCATTTGCACCAGCATTTGCACCAGCATTTGCACCAGCATTTGCACCAGCATTTGCACCAGCATTTGCACCAGCATTTGCACCAGCATTTGCACCAGCACTTGCACCAGCATTTGCACCAGCATTAGCACCAGTATTCCCACCTAGGTTAGATCCCACTGCACCTGCATTAGCTTGGCTTCCAGCTTCTCCTAATAAAAAAAAGAAGATATCGCTACAGCGTTTGTTTCTGTAAGTGGCGCTGTATGTGTCTCTGGAGCTTCAATTGTGATATGGATCACCATTTTAAGACAGTTCACAATAAGGCGTTTAAAAAAATTGTACCCGATCCCTACCTTTACGAAACTAATGGTGTTTTTTGGCTTGCCAGGAAAAGGAGACATCTCAATTTATCAAAAGGATGTATTAAAAGACTGCCATACAAACTAACATGGCATAGGTACATATTACGTAATATGTGTACCTCTACGGTGAAAGCAGATAAGTTCTTTAACAAAATGATTAGGTACCTGGTACCTACTCCAACTTCCGAGTACTGAGGAGAAAAAAACCTTGAAATCCAGAAAAGCGTCGAAACCCAGGTCGTCACCTCCAATACTACGCATGTAAATGAAAATGTGTCACAAAAATTCGGATAACAAAATTATATACCTACGCTTAGAGGTTCCTCTTACTATTTTCGTATTATTATTATTAGTATCATTGCCAAGGTTGATATTAATCGGGTATAAATGCTAGTGAGAAGTCAAACGAAAATTTTAGAAAAAATACCCGAAATATGTCACAGTTCAACTCCCCCTTCTCAACCCCTAGCCATGAGAGCCATACCCTAAAAAATCGCAAATGGAAAGGGGGGTCGAATGATAATCTTCTCAAAGGTCTTCCAACCCTTATTGAAACTGACAAGTTTATAGTCGCTGTTATCACCCCCGTTGATATATCACAGCTTTTCAAAATCTTGAAGTGTTCGTTTTCAATAATGAATAAGCACCGAAGTTAGCAACTTTAAACCTGGGTGGAGTGGTATGATGGGGGCCAGAAGACCTTTGAAATGAAATTTTCATGGTATTAGGATCTCGACATCAAAGTTCAGAATTTTAATTTTCAGGGTAAAACTCACCTCCGCTCGAAGGGTTGGGTCTTAACTTAAAAGGTGATCTTCATCATATCCACCAGGTTCGAAATCGCTATCTTTCGTGAACAATCAATTAGGTATTATCTAAAAACAAACACTTTCTTCGAGATTTTGACAAGCTGTCATATCAACAGGGGTGACAAGGGAGACTTCCAACTTGGCAGTTTAATGGGGGCCCAAAGACCTTTGAAAAGATTTATCGCTTGACCCTTCTTCCTATTTAGGACTTTCTAGAGGGTAACTTTGGGGGAAAAACTACGGAGTTGAAAGGGGGGAGTTGAATTTTGCATAGCAACTCATTCACCTCTAAATTATTTTTGACGTGTTCCGGGGATTTCTTTTTCTTAAATTTTGGGTTTCTGAGATAATAGGGGAAGAAAGTTTTCAAATTGGTGAATGCTCAAAGCTCACCTGAGGTACCTATTCTCTATATTTACTTTAAGTACCTACAGCTAATGAGTTATTTGAGTAGAATTAAAATTGGTCATGTAAACCATGTGTCCAGGCCACTAGGCTCGGAAAAATAAGAAGAAAATACTTAGTAATATTCACAAATCGCTTACCAAATCCACTTCCGTGTCCTCCCCCTACACCTAATGAACCTGCGTTTGCATTAGAATGACTTCCAGATACACCTTGAAAAATGGAATTTTCATTAGACAGTATATATACAATGAAGAGCTCTTACCAAGTCCTTGGGCCTCATTAAATCCACCTGATGTGGCACCAGCGCTGGAGATAGCGCTTGCTTGACCTGCTCCTTTTGAAGAAGAGTATGAATTAGTGGCAAAAGATGTAAAACATTATAATAAATTGAACAGGAACCTATCTAGTCAATAAATTTGCTTGATAAAATACGTATTATCACATTTTTGAATTTATCCATTCACTTTATTGAAGTCATGTTTTTAATGCCATTTTTTAGGTAGGTATACAAAATATGCTGCAAATAATTGACGTTGGTAGGCTTCTACGTCATAAGCTTCATATGTAGGTATCAAAATTCAGTATTTTGCGCCAGCGACTCGAAACTTCCTGAGTGTGATGAGAATAATAATCAGCAAATTAACCCAATCTTTAGAGAAATTTCACCTATGCTTAGCTTTATCAGTTTTTGTTTGACCGTTTATTAAAACCAATATGGAGTTTAAAAATTGCACTGTTTATCAAATCACAACGTTAGAATGTTTATGATTGTAAAATCTAAGAAATGGCTATCAAAAGTTTCATTTCTTTGTATAGAAGAAGCCAGACAAAAAAGATACTGTAAGTAAACTTACCAATTCCTCCTTGTCCAAAAGGTATACCTCCAGGTGGTCCTTGTCCGTAGGATGGGCCTCCAGGTCCGTCGAATCCAGGTCCTCTTTGTCTTCCAAATCCAGGACCTCCTGGACCAGCGAACCTTTGACGTCCGTAACCGCCTGGACCTCCGTAACGGCCTTGACCACCGAAACCTCCTCTACCTCCGTAACCGCCTTGACCTTCGTAACCGCCTGGACCTCCGTAACCGCCAGGACCTCCGGAGCCACCTAAAATTTCATGATAATAATTATTAATGGTTATAAATCTGGCATCATAAATTGAGCAAACTAGCAAGGGCTACCTCTGGAAGTTATGTAAATTTCTCAAGTTTTAAAGATAGTGACAAGTTCTATAGAGGAATGCATGAGAAGTTTGAATAGATACATATTTTATGTGAAAATTTACGTTAAAATATGATCGTTTTGCAACAAAAAGATTTCGCTAATTTGTAGTAGAATGGTTATATTTTTTTCGGGCGGTTTCTGAAGCGATTAAATAAAATATGTAAATTAAAAAAAAAAACATACCTGCTTGGGATTGAGCCACAGCTTTAGCTTCTGCTTCGCTTCCAGCACCACCATAACCTCCAGCGCCAGCGTTAGCGTTGGCAAAGGCGTTGGCTTCAGATTGTCCACCATTAAAAAAAGGATTTCTAGGGTCGGCAGAACGAGATCTTCTCAAACCAACTACTGCGTTAAGGGGAACGTAGATTTCGTCATTGTATTTGAGTCCAGGAATATCTAATAAAGTACCAACTTGATTAAGTTCGTAGATTTTGTTGAATTGGAATTTTAGACGCAATAGATTATTGGAGATTCATTAACTTAATTCTGTAAATGTAAATTAATAATTATTAGATATTAGAATCGATGTTAACGTATGTACCTTTATAAAATGGAAAAAATGGTTCAATATTTAAATAAGTTTTTGCTTATAGTTTATATAGTAAATTATATGTAGGCTATGTATGGTATAGGTAGGTACCTCCCTATGATACTTACATTCGAAAGGACCTGCAATCGCAAGAGCTAAAACTGCACTCAAAACTACACAAACACTTTTGCAGTTCATTTTTAGAGGTTTTGATAGTGAAATAAATTTGTCAGCTCAAATATATACAAAATATTTAACAAACAAGTTCCCCTTCTGCCAAAAGAAATTTGTTTACCTTTTGATTAAAACTGAGGGAACACCCGAAGATTTACAACAAAAACTTGTTTGACAAAAAGATCTAAACAAACACTAACCACTGGTTTTGGTTTTCAACAAGGTATATATTAGTCTATAACCATTTTCTGGTATGCTAATTAATAGTAGGTTTTTGAGAATTTGTGGAAATAACAACGAGTATTGGGGATATCTTATGTATTTAGCGGTATACCATCAGATCATTAATTATCTATCATTAATTTATAATAACTCGTTTTGTGCCGATAAACCATTTTTAATATATTTCAGCTCATTACTAAATATGATTTATATGCATTACATTATTATAATGGCCTTTCTGTATTCTGTACGCCTCAATACCTTTTTTCCAAACCTCCTGGGCAATAAGCGTGTATTGTGACTAGAAGGTAGTGGCATGTAGAGTATCACTCCAGTGAATGATTTCCTTTAAAAAATCTAAATATCTAGAGTTTGTTTGTCTATGAGTTCTCAAGTTGAAATCATCTGGGTCCTACAGCTAGGTCGAATGGCAGCAGCCGTTTTAGTCTACGCACTGCGTTGTTGTCGGACACAGTTAATTCTTTGGCCCACGCATTAGGATGCACTAAGCAGTCTTTGGATGTACCTACTTCGCACTAAATCGAAGTATGGCTTCCTTGACGGATTCCAGAGAGATGTCATGCTGGATCACGGCATTGGGTATGTAATTAGGCGCGCAATACTTTGTTTTGGAACCTTTTCAAAATGTCAATGTTGGAGTTACTGGCGGTACCCCATAGCTGAATGCTATAAGTCCAGATGGGCTTAAGAATGAACTTGTATAGTAGTACTTTGTTATCCAGTGATAGTTTAGATTTTCGGCCAATGAGTCAGTACATATGGTTTAGTTTAAGTCCTAAGCAGGTGCTTGCGTTTGGTAAATATATGTTTCTTCCATGTGAGGCGGCGGTCTTAGTGAATGCCGAGATATTTAGCATCATCGGCTTGTGGGAGTTGATGGTGATTAGTCCTTACAGGGGGACACTTTTCTCTGCGTAATGCGTTATGTAAATGATACATGGACTCAGTTTCATTAGCTTTAATTCGCCAAGTTTTTAACCAGTACCGAATTTTGTTTAGGTTTGTTTGAATATTTCTTGGGGCTAGTAATGGATCAGTATGGGATGCCAAAATAGCAGTGTCGTCAGCATATTGTTGCTACCGTAGTAGTTCTTGTTGTTGGTAGGTCTGCTGTATATACAGAAGGTTTTGGGCCCAGGACGACAGGATCTTCAATTTGACTTGTACTCTCGTGTGCTACACGTTGTCGAAGGCTTGGGATATATCAAGAAAGGCAGCTAGGTCTTTGTTTATTTGGTTGATCAGCATATGCACTTGCTCTATTGTTCCATGCTTGTCACGAAATTCAAACTGATGCTCTGGGATTATTTTCCTATCCTCTATTATTATTTTGAGTCTTTTCACGCACATCTTCTCAAACACTTTGGAGAGCATAGGCAGTAGGCTTTAAGGACGGCAGGAAGAAGCAGCCTCTGGTTTTTTTTCCGACTTTGAGGATAAATGATGATTTGGGCTATTTTTCAAGTGCTAGGGAAATGGTTCATACGCAGTATTGCATTGAACATGAAAGTTATTAGTTTTATACATTTATCTGACAATTCTAGCAAAATTTTGCCAGAGATGAGATCAAAGCCTGGTGCTTCTTTAATGTTCATTTCTTTCTTTATTATTTCTTTAACTTGCCTAGCCGTGAATTTGTTATGTGGCAGATCCATTTGGTTATTTCGTTTTCTTCCTCGTGGTAAAGTTCAGAAGGAAAGGGCTGAAATACACTTTTTAGGGGTTCGGAGAAAGATTTGGCTTTTTCCTTACCATTCCTGGCCCAATTATTGTCATTTGTTCTAATGGGTGGGTTGTATTGTTGGGGCCTTTTGAGCTTCCTTATGGCTTTCCGGAGCGAATAGTCTGTCGCCTCAGTTGTACTTAGGCTCAGGTATTCTTGAATTCCTTTGGTCTTCCTGAATTAAGTATTTCAGTTCTTTTGTAGCTTTATTGAGTTTTCCCTCGTTTTCTTCCGTTCTAGCTTGTTGCCAATTTTTTCGCAGCATTCTTTTGTATGCAATTTTCTGCTTAATTGTAGGAGACACGCCGTTGACTTTTTGAGGTTGTTTATATTCGGTGGTAGCCTACCATGCTACCCCTTGTATGTTTTTTGTCAAGGTCATTGCTGCTGTTTCTATGTTCAGCTCAGTTTTTAGAGGCAGATTTAGAGAAATCAGACTGTCTGGTTTTTCTCTGAATAGAGACCAATCAGTCCTATTGTGATGCAATGAGGGTTGTTTTTCTTAAGATGTCGGAGTAAATGGTTACTATCACCGGCGAGTGGTCAAATGACAAGTCAAAGCAAGATTCAGCTTTGAATTTTTTAGCGTCAATGCCTATAGTAACGCAAAAGTCTATGGCATCAGGGATTTTGTTTCTACTTGATGGCCAGTAGGTTCGTTGGCCGGTGGAGATTTGTTTTGAGTTATTCGCTTTCATTGTGTTGTAACCCCAATAATATAGCACAGCAATAATTGTATTAACATTTAATTATTCTTATATTTCTAATTTGTTTTATTATTACCAATCTATTTTACAAAGAGGCCCGACGATGTCTTTGTCGGCTCAATATTATCATACCGACCTTCTTTTATTGTCCGACCCTTAGTCCCTTAGGTTACGTCATCGTCCATACTTGTACAAACTTTCTAAGTAATATAGTACCTAATAAATAGATTTTAGCTCATTCATAAACTTTGTAAAATGGATAAGTTAATTTTAGAAAATTGTAAAATAGGAAGGTCCAAACTTGTCTTCCTGGGTGGAAGATAGGTGAAGAGAAGGTATTCAGATTTCGAACTTCATTCTGGACAGTCGGGTTGCCTCTCAACATTTTAACTAAGTGCCCCCCTTAACGAGAATTTTAATAAACGCAGCATTTTTATTCAATACCGAATTTTAATTATCGAAGTACTCAACATTCGTTGCATCGGTCAACTCCCGATCCCCAACATTGGTGGCAGCGGTAAACCGATTCCCAACAATTGCTTTGACTAATTCTCTGCCTTATGGGGTTGTCAGTCTTGATCCCCATATTGGGTCTTTAGAATTGTAGTCTCCTGCCGCAATAAATGTATTACCTAATGTAATAAAAAATTCTTGGAAGTGTTTTTTGTTGTTGTTGTACCTTGGCAGTAAATGGCAGTCATAGTTATTGTTACCTTCTTCAATTGTCACACTGGAGGCTTGTAGATAGTCCTTGGTGAATTTTTCCTTTTCATAATGCTTGATGGAATCGCGCATGATTATGGCAATCCCTCCATAAGCCCTGTCGTCTGTGTTGTATGGTACTATTTATATTCAGGAATTCTCAGGTTTGTCTGTGGAATGCGTCTCAGAAATCGTCATTTTGTCAATATTTTTATTTGGTTCGTAATTCACTGATAACGGTAGTAAGCAAGTTGAGCATAGTGCTCATTTGCTGCATAAGTTGTTTAAGCGTTTCTTCGAGCATAGTTATATTGTTGACAGGCTGGGAATTTGCTGGAATTGCTTGGTTATTGGACCTCAATAACTAGATATTAATTTGTAACTTCCTATTTAAATAATTGGAAAGTAATATGCATTCCAAGGATTTGTTTGTTCCTGGTTTAAAAAAGTTGAAAAATCTAAAATTTATTGACGTACATCGTATTATTTATCCATTTTGATTCTATAGGTATGCTTATATACCTACTTCGCTATGTCAATTTAAACAATCAACACCATTTTTCACTGTTTGTAATTTTATCCCGTGGAACTTGAGTCTTTTTTTTTAATTTTTTTTTATATCATTGTCCAAATTTCTAGTCTGGAACGCCAGTTTGTTCTGAAAATTCATTCAGGCCGCTCACGAAATTAATTAATCTAAAAAGTTAAACATTAGGTCAAATTTTCTAAGAAAGTGCATGAAAACTTGTTCGCCCAGGACGATAGAAAATACTTTAATGTCAACAGAAACAATCTCATTGAGATGAGATTGTAGTTCTCCTGTATTAACCGCCATAATTACTATCCATTATTAAAAAAAAAACTGTTGATTATAACATCCCACTCAATTGCTCCCTCCAGTGAAAGGGCACTGATGATATTGTATGCGAGATACGCGTATCTAAGATATAGAATCGCGGTCGTATAGAGAATACCAATCTAAAATATTGGAAGATTTACTTAACATTGAAGAGCAAATATCTGTTCTTTCTTCTCTCCAAAAAAATCACGGGCTGCCTATTCGTTCTGGTTTACGCAGTCCAATCTTTAGTGATAAAGTAATTCTGAAAATTTCATTCAGGGTGCGAGTGTTTACGTCGATATTTTTGAGTGGGTAGAGTCATTTGCCCAATTAACTTGATCTGGTCAAACACCCAGAGCTCACGCAGTAGATTTGCAAGGAAATAGGCGATTAGGATGCACACTTGTCAACACATCGCTCAACAGCATATTTACAATAGAGTGAGAGCTGAGAGTTTTATTTTCGGTAGTGCAGCAAAACCCTGACTAATAATGGAATTGAGCAACTGGCTACATGTTTGATTAACAAGGTTCTCACTCTTCTTCTGTCTGTTGTCTGGACCATATCACGACAGACGTTGGGAAATGAACTTCCGCACATTCCCATTCACGTCTGGACATGATTCGCGATCAAGGGCGAATCGTAACTTGTCCGGTACAAATGAGGACCTCAAGAGGGTACAGGTTTTATAGGCTGAGAGACAACTGTAGTCTGACTAGTTGGCTCATGTCTTATTAATTTCAAGTTATTGAGCAACGAACGACTGGACACAATGTGCAGGAACAATGTGTTAAAACAAAAATTAGCACCACATGATGACACATATCAAAATAAAAAAATGTAAAATTGAGTGTCCTATTCTGGAAATAGAACAGTTGTTCTGCCCAGTCCTTATACTAACAGATGTTTTTAAGTTGA